AAAAATAATTTAAAAATTAAACTAGTATTTCAATAGCATCTTAAGAAATATAGAACTATATAAACTTCCGCAATCTGAAATCAGCGCGTACGCTAGATTTGGCGCGCTGTTAAATGGGCACGTTTGCTAGATTTGGCGCTTTTGCGCGTACATTTTCGCTGCAATTTTTTTACGGCCCTCGAAACCGAATAGTACCGAAAATCTTTATAAATTTAATTTTACTGATCCAAATTGTTAGAATGATAAAAGTAAAGTTTATTTGGGATTCATTGCTGAGCAGTTAATGAATGATAAATGCCTCAAGAAGGACATTTCACAAGTTGCAAGTTTTGTACTGAAACAAGAAGGTCAACAATGTGTCTTAACAATGGTACAACACTCAGTGGCTAAATATCCAATAAATTATTCTCTTATTCGAAATGCATCTTGTATAGACCCACAGTTGATGGCTAAAAGTCCAGAAAAAGCCCAGAACAAAATGAAAATAGTTCTAACGGTATTAACGCGGAATAAACGTGTTTTACAAGATAATTGTGATGAAATTCTGCTGCAGTTTGGAGAGATTCTAGACAAAGAAGTACTAGACAAACTAGACAAATTTACATGAATTTTCTACTTTTGATTCTCAAAATCTTTCTCTTGACACGTTTCTCACTTCTTATTTTCATGATTTTCACTATTCTAAAGTATGGAAAATAGTGAAAATGATTTTTATCTTGTCACATGGACAGGCCTTTGTGGAAAGGGGCTTCTCTGCAAATAAAGCAGTTGAAATTGAAAATTTAAGTGACTCATCATACATTTCTCAACGCACAGTATTTGATTACATAAAATTTTCTGGGGGTATTCTTAATATCGAAATTAATAAAGAAATAAGATCAGCAGCAGCTTCGATAGATGCTTTTAGCAGATGAAGCCGAGACCAGCAGGAACATTGATTTGTTTATCAAAACAAATGAACTTAGAAGAATAGTTAAAGAAAAGGAAATAGACATAAATAAATTAGATGTTAAAATATCTGAAAAAATTTCAGATTTTAAAAAAGCTTAAATGTTTTGTATCTTTTATTGCATAGTTTATTATTCTAGTATCTTTCAAAAAACCAAAGAAATAAATTGTATGTTTACAAATCTGTTATTTTAATGTGCAAAATATTTTTACATTGCAATTATAATAGTAGTTGACTGTGTTTAAATAAATATCAAATAAGTTAAATAATAATCATGTAAATATCTAAAATATCTGTGGCTGTTATTAGTGTGAAATACACTTATACAAATTTTTCAAGAAATTATGTTCTTAATTTAATGTTATCTACTTCATAACTTGTAGGGAGTTAGTTTAATTTTCAAAATTGTTTTATGTTAAGTGTTAGTTTAATTTTCAAAATTGTTTTATGTTAAATATTAAATTGAATTTAATAATAGTGCATAATACACACTTCTGTTAGTTTCTTAAATGGATAATTGCTTTATTCTATTCGTTTTTTTGTTTGTTTTGTTTGTTTGCTGATAGGTCCTTAATTTTTTCTTTGATGGTCCTTAAAAGTCCTTAATTTTCATGTAAGGAAATGTGTACGAACCCTGTGTTTCTTAGAAATAACTAATGCCAGTTCTTTTCATTTCATAATAAATGCTAATATAAATAATTTGCTATGCCATCTTTTTTTTTTTTTTTTTTTTTTTTTTTTTTTTTTTTTACTGTAGCATCTATTACTTCTTTTATATTAAAAAATAAGCTGTAACCCATTTGTTTATGCTTACATATATATATATATATATATATGAGAGAGTCTTTAAAATTCCAGGAGCCGGAGTCGGTCATTTTCCCTACAGACTCCACAGCCCTGCTCCTCATAATAGTGTGATTGCATAATCATCATATATTTAGTGATGATTTTTATCCTGTAGCCCTTGTTAATAAAATACCACATTTACTTGTATAAATACCCTTTTGGGGGAGGCTAATTTTATAATATGAGAAATAAGACTGAGAAATTGTGCAAATAATTTAATTTATAAAGAATGTGGTTACATTAAGATTACAACAGATTGAAAGTATTCATAGGTAAATCACCAGTAACTATCACTATATTTATTTATTTAAAAGAAACTTGCAAAAGAAATTCAATTACAAACTGCTTTTAACATTACAGTATATGATAAAATATCGGGTTTTAATGAAAGTTTCTCATCACAGCAAATATTGCATGTATAAACAATCCAAGTTGGCGTGTTTAATCATATTTCATAAAATATTTTTGGCATTTGAAAGAAGAAGACTTGCTTTAGAACACTGTCATGAAATCCGTAAAAAAAATATCGTTATCATTAAGTGCAAGGTGTCTGAAATGGAACTTTAACGTTACCAAATTAGAACCTTCATTTACTTCCATTTCTATTGCAAAAAGTAAGCTACAGAATGTCGCCAAATCATGTGTACAGCTTAAGGTACTAATGTTGTATCATACGATACTGTGTAGGTTTGGTACCGAAAGTTCTAAATCAAAGGCCATGACATTCGAGAAGCAGAGCACTCTGGCAAGCCTACTGATGTTGACGAGGCCCAGCCGGCCTGCGAGAACTTGTGGAAGAAGATCTGTATGTATGCAACCACTCAAAAGCTTGCGAGAGAGTTAGTGAAATGTCCATTAGTTGCGTTATGCATCACATAAACTTGATGTAGAAGTTCAATTGCTGGGTACTGCATGAGCTGACTCAAGCAGATAAGGACAGACGTGTTGGCCTGCAACTAATCTGCTCAAATAAATAGATATAGCTACTTATTACTATAAGTAATAAATAATAATAAACACAGTAATAAACACAATATAATAATGTAATAATAATAAACACAATAATAACAATAATATATATAATAATAAACACAATATAATATAATATAATAAACACAATATAATAATATAATAACACAATATAATATATATGATATAATAAGCACAATGACAAAATTCTGGATCGAATCATCACTTGTGATGAAAAATGGCTTTATTTCAACAGCAAAGGGGTCTGGCCTGCACCCGGTTAGCCCGCTGGCAGCGTCACAAAGTGCAAGTTGACTAACAAAAAGATCATGCTTTGTAATCTGGTGGGGTTGCCATGGTATTATCTACAAAGATTGTCTGGAAAAAGGGCAACTCTCAACAGCAAGCTGTACAGCAAGATGTTAGTCTGTGTTGATGCTGCTATCAAGGAAAATAGTCAGACTGAGTTCTGGTGCAAAAAGGTAATGTTCCATCAAGACATTGTGAGACCACATGTGTCTGTATTCACTGGTTGGACTCTGTACGGATGTGGATGCGATCTTTTGCCTCATCTACCATATAGCCCCGACATAGCTCCTTAGGATTTTTACCCTTTTTCACATCTGCAGCTATATTGTGCTGGTGCTATCGTCCATTTTGCATAGGACATCTGAACTGAGGTTGATCTGTTTTTGGACTTGTGGCCACCAAGTTTCTGAATGGAATGCTTTGAAAAACTACCAAAACGTTAGCAGAAAAATGATAGATTTGGGTGGCGATTACTACCCGTACTAAAAGAACTGCTTCATGTGGTTTTTTTTTTTTTTTTTTTTTTTTTTTTTTTTTTTTTTTTTAGAAAAGAGAAGAAAAAGATTATTAAGAAGAATGTTTTTTGGTAGAGAACTTCCTTTACAACCAGGTATCTTCATTTGCACTTTCTTGTACTCGCCAGTGGCTGAGTGGAATTACTGAACTGTAGTAGTTCTGACCTTGGTTCAAATCCAGGTGAACGGGCTAGCTGCGTGGCTGTTTTCATGGTTTTTTTCCATATGTAATGTGTATATGAGCTAGTTTCCCTTAGAAAGACCTCCACAAAAATAAATATTCCTTCCCTTAGACCCCTTTTATTATGACCTTATTATGACCAAAAAGGTAATGTTCCATCAAGACAGTGTGAGACCACATGTGTCTGTATTCATTGGCTGGACTCTGTACGGATGTGGATGCGATCTTTTGCCTCATCTGCCATATAGCCCCGACATAGCTCCTTAGGATTTTTACCCTTTGTCACATCTGCAGCTATATTGTGCTGGTGCTATCGTCCATTTTGCACAGGACATCTGAACTGAGGTTGATCTGTTTTTGGACTTGTGGCCACCAAGTTTCTGAATGGAATGCTTTGAAAAACTACCAAAACGTTAGCAGAAAAGTGATAGATTTGGGTGGCCAATTACTACCCATACTAAAGGTACTGCTTCATGGTTTTTTTTTTTTTTTTTTTTTTTTTAGAAAAGAGAAGAAAAAGATTATTAAGAAGAATGTTTTTTGGTAGAGAACTTCCGTTACAACCAGGTATCTTCATTTGCATTTTCTTGTACTCGCCAGTGGCTGAGTAGAATTACTGAACTGTAGTAGTTCTGACCTTGGTTCAAATTCTGGTGAACAGGCTAGCTGCGTGGCTGTTTTCATGTTTTTTTTCCATATGTAATCTGTATATATATGAGCTAGTTTCCCTTAGAAAGACCTCCACAAAAATAAACTTTCCTTTCCTTAGACCCCTTTTATTATGACCAAACCCAAGTGTGCTTTGCCATAATTACCAAATCAAACAACTTCCTTATAACTATTTTGGCCATGCAGAGCACTCTTAAAAGAACATTTTATTATTTTTAACATATTATCATTGTTAGCGAGTGGAAAGGAGAAGGCCAAGCATAATCTCTACATGTAGTCTCCAGGTATTTGTTATAGTAAGGTGAAAACAACCATTAGATGTATGAATCCATTTTAAAATTTAAGGGAACTTCGCTTTCTGAATCGCTTGAAGAAGGGGAAAATTATGTGAATGTTTAAAAACGATTCAGAACTTTGTTTAAAACACTAGGGGAAGCACACGAGTAAATGTGGTATTTGTTTTTGAATACTTTATTAATTCTTGGCATTGTCAATGATATTCTTTTGTACAATTGCACATATAATTTTAGTATGGTTTAATTAACTATTTTATTTAATTCAGAGTGTTCCTGGTGGTTATAATGCTTTGAGACGCATGTATACAGAATTGCAAGAACCTATGTATAATGCAGCTCAGGAGCAGTTTGGGACAAATCCATTTGCATCTCTTGTAAGCGATTCTGGAGGTAATTATGTTTGATAACTCTTAAAATTCTAGTTTGAGAATATGGGCCATTAAAAAGCTAAATGACTAAATGGTTTTGAGTGTAGCTTGTTGTCAATCGGAACAAGCTGGCTGCATGGGATTTTTCCATGTATATTATAGTATAAATACAACCCAATTTTCATTTAGAAAGTTTATGTAAAGGCACCACTTCATAGGCAGTTAACCTTCAATTAGTAAATGCTCTGCCATTTAATTAATAAGTTATAATTAAAAAATTTTTAAGTGCTAGTAAATTTCTTTTGTCATATTTCGCTGTAAATAATTCTGCATATTCTGAGTTTGTACTGCCTCATTTTATTGATTGAGATCCGATAGATAGATATCTCAAATTTATATTGATTTCACTATAAATAGTTCTGTGTATTCCAGGTTTGTACTACTTCACTTTATTGATTGATATCTTGCCGATTTCAAATTTTTTCATGTATAGTATAAATACAACCCAATTTTCATTAAAAAACCTTATGTAACGGCATTGCTTCATAGGCAGTTAACCTTGAACTAGTAAATGTTTTGCCATTTACTTAATGAGCTATAATTAAATTATTTTTAAGTGATAATAAATTTCTTTTCTCATATTTCAATATAAATAAATCTGTATATTCTAAGTTTGCATTGCCTGTTTTATTACTTAAATTTATTTTTTCATCCCATGATTTCTGCACCATTTCAGTGCTTTCAAATAATAATGAAAAGAAGAAAAATTAATATTTTAAGGAATAAGGTAATGTGCACAAAATGGTCATGAAACTGTTTTTACTAAGTGAGTTTTGGCCAGTAATGGCAGTAAAAGAATAGTTTTGTGTAGTAAATAGTGAGCCAGTGCTTGCACTTATTTTATTTTTAGATACATAGTTAAAATATTTTACGAATGGAGACTATATTCATAGCTGCCAACTCTGTGTCCAATTTTTCATTGAATCTTCTGATAGATAATTGGATGTTCCAGAGTTTAATAAGGAAAATGATAATACACTCCAGATATTTCTAGAACTTTTTGTGAAGATTTAACCAATGTTGAATCAATTAACCTTCCTAGTGGCCGAGACCCTCAACTAAAATCTCTTCATCTCAAGTCTTGAAAAGAAACCAGATTCTACTATTTCTTCTGCTCATTCTGTATCCAGATTAAAGCTAAAAGTGGCAGACGTTTCGCTGTCTTTAGTTGCTTTCCCCCCACTCAAATGACCGTCGTTCAGCGGGGCGTATTGACGTGTCCATGTCCTTTTGTCCAGCAGGCTCCCGTTATGGCAAGAAAGATTTAATTGAATGTATACCAGATTTTAGTGGTTATCGCCGTGTTGGCTGCGTAACTAAGCAGATTTTAAACAGCGTACGTACTTTATGAATATGTGTTTGAAATTGATATTGCTTTGCGTTTTTAGTTTTTTATTTGGAAAATTATTTACTTTTATTTCTCCGTGTTTTACTAAAATATTTCACAAAATCTGCATAAAAATTGTAGTCATTCCTCACGCAAAAATTTATAGAAAATTACGTTTTGATTCCACCATAACTTTGTACCATTACTCATTTAGCAAGAAAAATAGAACTAATAATTAGGCCCAGAGAAAAGATACGGTCATCAAAATTTTCTACTCATCGCATTATACAAATAAAAACGTACACAATTTATGTACTAAATAAAATGCATTACGTTAGCCTATAGTTTAATAAACAACTAATTTTACTTATTTTATCTTTTAATTACTTCAATTTATATTCTAATCAATAATCTTTTCTGAATGACGTTAACATGAATATTTTCCAACGACATTGACTTGAATTATTACTAAATCTATTTGAGATGAATTTGAATTTCAAAAATGTTTCTTTACATGGTAACTTTGAACGTTGATCACAACGAATTTATATGATAGAATATTAAATTAAAATTTTTCCTATACCATTCAGTTTTTACAAGTTCTGCATTTTTCTTTTTTTCCTACCAAAATCTTAACTTTAATTCTCAGCTTCCTATTCATCGTTATTATAAATACTTTTTTTAGATAAAAATAAAATATTCTTTGCTACATTAAGACCCTCAATGCCTTTCCCCCGTCGCTGGAGATATTTGCGGAAAGAAAACTGTGTCATGAAGTAGAGTGCAATGATAAAAGATCGTCTAAAGTGAAAAGCCGGCACATAAATGAACTCCTTTCAGATAAACTATATTACTATCTAGATTTTTGAATGATTTTTTATTATTAAAAATTCCTTTTCCATATTAAAAGTTTATAATGATGATTTTAAATCATGTACTGAAAAACGATAAATTACTTGAAATTTTTCTAAATTCGTACATACGCACAGAAAACTTCCAAAATATAATTTTTTTTCACTTTCTTTTATTAATGCTTTAAGTATTTCTAACTTAAAATGAAAATTAAGACTAAAAACTATCGTGCGAATAAACGTAGAACTGAGAAGAATTTTGCCTAATTTAGTGCACTGAAAAAATCTAAAATTCAGTTTTTTAAGATGCTGTATTTTCAAAGTTAAAAACTGTTTTTAAACATTTCCCTAAAGAAGCGTCTTTTTTTGTTATAAATTCTAGAAACACATTCTTGAACGGAAATATAGTTTCAGAATTAAATTAAAATGCCTTGAAATAAGTGTGTCTTGAATCGTGTTAGATAAAATTATATGACATTAAATAGAAAATTTTTTTTTTCTCTGTACAGTGTTAAAGCTGATGATGCTTTCCCGTTTTTAAAGTTGTCGCTGCTACTCCTAGGCTCCAAGACATCCGTAAATAATTAGAGAAGAGGAATGTGTAGCTGACTTAGATAAATCATAGAGTGAATGTCAGTTCGGGTTTACTTCGCTGTTATTCGTCGGTTCTTGTATTAGGCATAAATTTCAAGAGTTAGAAGGGAAAGGTTCGGCGTTACCTTCACAGGTAGTTTGCAGGGATTTGTTTTTTGTCAATAAGATGAAAACAATCACGACGTGGACGAATCCAATTTAAAATTTAGAGGACTGCGTCCTCTGAACGCATTGAGGAAGGGGAAAGTTACAGGAATATTTTTTAACTTACGGAGCCTGCAGCTAAAACGATAGTGGGAAAAATACGTAAGGATATAATACACTATCGATTTCTAGAGCAATCTTGAGCAGGCAAATTGCAGTAAATCTGTTTCGCGTCTGAAGAAGAAGGACTTATGCCAGTTCGCTCTTGAAATTGATAAATGTTTATTTAAAAATCTACGCGAATTTAAAGTTTACTTTTTTACAAATTTTAACTATTATATTGGCATGTTTCTCTTCTTATTAATTTGCTATATTGAAAATTCAAAAAATATGATACTTGAAATCATGCTCTGTGTGGAAATTTACACATACATGCATATGTATATATATATAAAATCTTTAATATGCAAGTTTTATCAGAATGCATTGAAAAATAAAAAAATAATTCTTAAATTATCCCAACAGTTCTGATCATATGATACTAAAGTCAAAATCATACAACACTTTTCAAAGGATCCTTGTCCTCATTATTTTTAAACACTTATAATTAAAACACATATACTTTAACGTATATATTTTGAACTTTATGTAAATTCTTTTATTTAATTTCGTTTCCTTACCCAGGATAGCTATAGCTTAAAATTTCAATTCAACAAGAAAAGCGATTTTTCCACTGTATAGCATGAATGGGAGTTAATTTTCCTTAAAAGGTCCTCCATGAAGGCATCCCTTCCCTTAGGTATGTAGCCTTTGTGTGCATCAAATCCAATCAAGCGAACAATCAAGAATGAAAAAAAAATTTCTGTTTCGTTAAATCACGTGATCTGTGGAGTAGGGGCTCCACTTGTGGTCGAGAAGTAAACAGTTGTATACTGGTAGTTCGATCTAGGTTATTGCGCAGAAGAGCGGGTTGTTATTATATAGACCATTTTGTGGCTTTCTGCTTGTGTAATGTGAATACGACCTAGTTTCGCTGAGCAAGTCGTCCTCGAAAATATACCTTCCCTTAGGACAGCCGTCGTGTGCTTTGTCATATCCAAATACCCTGACCTGATAACCCACTAGCTACATTTTAAACCGAGGCGTCCAATGACGTTCTGAAAACTGAGTAATTAAAAAGATTTTTTAATACGTTTCATTTTGCATCTTTTAATTTCCTACACTTTTGTTCGTTTTGTAATTTGAAGCACCTTCCATGTCTTTTTAAATCTAATAATGTGGTTAGAAACACAAAGAAAAATTTGAACCTTATGGACCCACACTGAATTTTCTGTCAGAATAAAAATACCAAATGGGAAAACTCGTATTCGGTGAAATATTGTACTAGCGTTGCAGAAACGACTCTGCAGAAGCAACTGAAATTGGCAAAGCAAATCAGAAATTTATTTCAAAATTTGACTCAGTCAAAAAAGTTGCTAACTGCATAATTCTTAACCTTCAGCTCTTAACTACACATTAGACAAATAATTTAATGGAATTCGATAAATATATCCCAAAAAGGGAGGACTCTCGAACGATGTACTTTTCTAGCTTTCCTTTTGAGTAAGTAAAGAAGAAAACGATAACTTTACTATGGAAATGATATATATATAATGAATGGATATTTAATAATTCAAAATGCTCGATTGATTGAGCGAAAATTGCACACATGGAGTTCATGATTACCATGAATTTACTTGCAACGCTGAATGAGAATGATTACAAATAAAGTGAAATTCTTGATGTTTCCTGAACATTTTATAATATAACTAACATTGTACAGTTTTATATGCAGAACCCGAAGTACTGTTCTGTTACATAGAATTATTCTTGGTGGCAAGTATTGTATGATTATTTCCACCATACGTAAATTTCATTCTCATTGTGCATAAATTTATATCTGCAATTCTATTCAACATTTAATTTAAAAACTGGAAGGAGTATCTAAAGTATGGTCATCAGAATGCAACAGAATATTATAAATGTAGTTTCATGATAGTAATTTAT